AGGAATGACTTTTTAGTAATGACCTGCACTGCTTATGTTGTCTTGCCTGCCACCCAATCACAGTCAAGTAAGGAAGCATGGGCCCCGAATGAAGACAAAAGTGGAGTCCCTGCCATCCAAGCCACCATCTCGAGGACTCCCTGGGCTCAAATAGACATTTCACAGCTTAGAAAGGACAAAGTGGTGGCCCTGCGGGGGGTGGTGGGGGGGTGGGGTGTTGGTGTGGATTTGAAGGAATTGGGGCCTCATCCATTGCTGGTGGGAATGTGAAATGGTGCAGCTGCAGTTCCTCAAGAAGTTAAACAAGGATCAGCAATTCCACTCCTCGGTATATAGCCCGAAGAATTGCAAACAGGTGTTCAGGAAAGTCTCACATGTGAACGTTCATAGCAGCATTAATCATAGTTGACATAAAGTAGAAACCACCCAAATGTCTGTCAACAAATGAATGGCTAAAATGAAAGACACATGTCCATACTATGGATATTATTCAGCCCCTCTTGGTTAATGGACACCCAGTCACTGGCCTTGCTGGTGACCTATTATCACTCCTAAGAGAGAAAATCTTTCACCTTCATAACGACCCAATTAAATTGTGTGGCTTTGAAAAACACAGCACCAGGGCAGGTGGAGAATTTTCCTTTGTGGTCACCAACTGTCATGCAAAGGGATTACAATACCCACCACTAGGGCCATGGAGTGAAGTAGGTTCATGGGGGGAACACATACGAGCGGGGAAGGTTTAACATATAAACTCATAGAAGTATGTTAGGGTAATTCCGCAACAGTACCCAGCCACTTTCTGGCTGTGTGGCCTTGTGTGTGTCACTTATCTGTGCCTCAGTTTTCTTACCTGCAAGATGGAGACATCAGTATCTACCTTGTATGGCTGTCACGAGAATTCATGGATTTTGTACGTGTGAAACACTTCACACACCAGACACAAACCACCCTGTGTTTACTGTTGTCATCATGGCCACCAATGTCCTTATCGTTATTTATTGCTACTTGGGTTCATGAAAACAACGTCAGCATCTTCCAGAGAAATCTGGTTGCCACAGAACACTTGGCAATGTTTCAAAGCCACTCTGCACCCAAAGTGGCAGATAGTTGGAATCCCTCCAATTTGGAGAAAGGATGTTTTGGTTTTGAGTTCTGGCTGTGTTGGTTGTTGGTGGCTTTCTTGCTATTTAACTAATAATTGCTGCCAGTTCAGCCTTGTCATTACCGGTTTAGTCTGTTATGGGTTGTTTAGTTAAACTGCATGTATAATGATGCATATTTGCTTCAATTCCATGTGTGCGTGGCCTGTAATTTTCCGCTAATTAGACTTTTTAAAGACACATATGTAGTTATCTACTCAAATTTGCATCATCTGTTCCCCTGTTGCCAAAGCAGATGCACACAGCGCCCACCCATCCCCACTCCAAGAAGGAATCTGCTTTCCCCACTGAGTTTTCTGCCGTAGAGTAGGAAGCAGGGGGGGGTGTGTGCAGATGATTCTTGTCCCACTGAAGTGAGAGCCATCAAAATAGTGTAGACAAGAGAGGCTGGGCCTGAGTCAGGAATAATGGGGCTGAGTGGAGGGAACAGACCCTGAGATATCTGACCAAAGACCACAAACCCACCCCCAGCTCCAGCCGTCATACCAAAAGGATCTAGACACTACCAGTTCCCAAGAATCAAGCATCGAGACCNGTGTTGGTGTGGATTTGAAGGAATTGGGGCCTCATCCATTGCTGGTGGGAATGTGAAATGGTGCAGCTGCAGTTCCTCAAGAAGTTAAACAAGGATCAGCAATTCCACTCCTCGGTATATAGCCCGAAGAATTGCAAACAGGTGTTCAGAAAAGTCTCACATGTGAACGTTCATAGCAGCATTAATCATAGTTGACATAAAGTAGAAACCACCCAAATGTCTGTCAACAAATGAATGGCTAAAATGAAAGACACATGTCCATACTATGGATATTATTCAGCCCCTCTTGGTTAATGGACACCCAGTCACTGGCCTTGCTGGTGACCTATTATCACTCCTAAGAGAGAAAATCTTCCACCTTCATAACGACCTACCAGGGAGGCCCAACACGGACCAGGCTTTATGGCTCTTGGAGACCGTATAGCCCACCGGTGGAAATTTCACGCCAGCTGATGCTGCAGTCCCTGGTTCATGCATGCTAGACTCCTGGGTCCGTGTTCCCTGAGGAGGGAAATGCCTCTGAGTTCAACTCATAAGGCTCCCAGCGAGGGGAAGAAAGCTGGAGTGACGGCGTGAGGTAGGGCCTCCGGGCAGGTTCAGGGTGCTGTTGCCCACTATTGAAAATATAATTGATATTGAAGCGCCACATGTTCATACTGTGAGTGTCCCACGCGTGTCAGGGGGCTGCGCCATCCAGCAACTGTAGTCCTCTCCTTGGTGGCCTACAAAAAGAAGGCAGAATCCAGGAGGAGAGAAGGAAATCGCAGCTTTAATGGCTGCGGGAGTACTGAGGCCCTTTCCCAGGGCAGCAGCGCCACCTGCCTCACGCAGCCACTGTGCACGGCCCTTTCAACAAGAGCCCGCACAGCGGGGCCTCGGTTTGGGACTGTCTCTGTGGACGAGCATTTGGGTTTAGGGCCGCCCTGAACCGGGAAGTGAATGCTTCGGTTTCCCAACAAGCCCCTGAGTGGAACCTGCCACGCGGCTTCCGCTGAGGGCACGATCCTGAGGCCCAGCTGTGGGCTGTTGATCCCTCGGTGTTTGAACGTTTCAGAGCTCCAGCGGGCTTCTGGAACGGATCACATTCAAAAACCGAGGTGCCACTGTATTGTTATTAAGTTCTCCTTGAAAGCAACCAACTAAGCTCCAGGTTCTCCACAGGCCTTGGTCCTGAGCCCACGGAAACCAGGTGATCCACCTCCCGGGCCCAAGTGGGTGAGGCTCTGCCCCAAGTTAGAACAAAGCGTAACAGGCAGCTAGAGAGGAACCTGCCTGCCGGGGGTGGTTCTAGATGTGCTGCCCCCTAAGTAGCAGCGGTGAGATGACAGTTTTGGACAGATTTAGTGTGGTCTCCAGTTGCCAGCTCAGCTTTAGGGGTTAACACACATTCTGGTTTGAGTGATACTGACTGCTGCAAAGTTGCCCCACAGTTTGTCTCAACTCCAGGGCAAGGAGGGGTGTAGAGACTCTGTACCTGTGTCTTGAAAGGAGATTGGAGTCACCAGATTGGATACTCAGCTCACCAGAGGTTGGCGATTTGGAGGGGGTGTGTGTGGTGGGCAGTGAGGAGGGGTCACTCACAGAAAGAACACTAGTCCCAGCGGGCTGATTTATTGACCCCCAGCAGTGTTGTGCCAGTCCTGTTCTGAGAGGGCAGCTGGAGAAGTTTGCCACCCCACTGATCCAGTTTGGCGGTTGAGCTGGGGGTTGGAGAGAACACTACCTCCATGATAACTGGGAAGCTGGGTCCTGGGAAGTGCAGGGGTGACCATCTCCATCATGCCAAAACGGTGCCCCCACTTCACAGGGAGAAAGGGGCCCCTGGTCGAGCCCTGTGAGCGGGTTCAGTTGATTCTTCTGGGTTCTCCAGTCTCAGAGCAGTGTTCCACTTAGGAGACTCAGTCCTATTCCAGGAGAGGAAGGAGCTCCCAGGTTGTCCATTTCCTTCCAAGGCCAAGCGAGTGATGTCACCGGTTGCTAGGTA